TCTTTCCGGGTGCTGGGCCCAGCTCACCTTCTCTCTGTTTCCAAGTTTTAACTATTACAAATTGTGCTGCTATGAACATGGGTGCACATGTACCATTATGATATGATACTTTTAATTCTTTGGTGAAGATATCCAGCAGGGGAATAGCTGGGTCAAATGGGACTTTCAGTCCTAGTTCTGGGGTATCTCTACACTGATTTTCACAGTGGTCACACCAGTCTACACTTCCACAAGCAGTGGACCAGGGTTCCTCTTTCCCCACATCCCCACCAGCCTTTGTTATTGGTTGATTTCATGAGAGCAGCCATTCTTTCTGGGGTGAGGTAGAATCTCAGCGTTGTTTTCTTTTGAAACACTCGAATGACTAGTGCTGTTGAACATTTACTCATATGTTTATTTGCCATTTCTACTTCTTTGTGTGAGAAATGTCTGTTCATTTCAGTTACCTATATTTGGATTGCATCTCTAAATTTGGGAGGTCCGATTTATTTTTAAAGATCTTTATAGATTTTAGACAGTAGACCTTTGTCTGAAGAATAGCAGATGAAAATTTTTTTCCCACATTTTGGGTTACCTCATCACATTGGTGGTGGTTTTGATTGCTGTGCAGAAGCTTTTTAATAAGAAAAGATTCCACTAGTTGATTGTTTGTCCTAGTTCATGAGCAACTGAGGTTTTGTTCATAAAATCTTTTCCTACACCAATGTCTTCAAGAGTTCTACCTCAACTCTGTGCCAGCTGGTTCAGTGTTTCTGTTTTAATATATAGATCTTTAATCCATTTCAATTGTAGTTCAGTGCATGGTGACAGATACAGGTCTAGATTTAGTCTTTGGCAAGTTGAAACTCAACTTTTTCAGCACCATCTATTAAAGAGGCTATCTTTCCTCCGTTGAAGATGGTTGTCTCCTTTGATGAATATGAGGTGGCTGAGTGTGTCTGGAGTTGTTTCTGCATCTTCTAACCTGTCCCACTGGTCCTCAGGTCTGTTTCTTTGCCAGAACCATGCTGTTTTATCACAGTATCTTTGTAGTATAGTTTCAAGTTGAGGGTTGTAATACCCCTGTCATGTCTTTGTTACCTAGAATTGCTTTTGCTATTCTGGGTCTCTTCTTGTTCCAAATGAATTTTTGGATTGTTTTCTCAAAGTCCATGAAGTATGCTGCTGGGATTTCAATTGGGATTGCACTGAATAAGTATAGCACTTGTGGAATATGGCCATTTTCACTATGTTAATCCTTCCTACCCAGGAGCAAGGGATGTCTGATAGCATCTTCAGTCTCTCTTTTCAGAGTGCTATAGTTTTCAGAGAAGATGTCTTTGGTTTCTTTCATTAGGTTGATTCCTATGCATTTCAGTTTTTTGGATGCTATTATGAAAGAAATTGTTTGCCCTATTTCTGCCTCAGTGAGTCCGTTGTTCATGTACGGGAAAGCTATTCATTTTTGTGTGTAGACATTGAATGACGTTGGTTATTAAGTCTAGAAGGCTTTTTGTGGAGTTCTTGGGGTCTTCTATATAGAGTATCATGTCATCTGCAAATAATGACAATTTGATTTCTTAATTTCCTATCTTTATTACTTTTATTTCTTTCTCTTGTCTAATTGCCGTGGCTAATGCTTCCAAAACTATACTGAACAAGAGTGGTGAGAGCGGACATCCTTGTCTTGTTCCTGATTTTAGTGTGAAGGATTTCAGTTTGTGACCATTTAGTGTGATATTGGCTGTTGGTTTGTCATAGATGGCTTTTATCAGTTTGAGGTAGAGACCATCTATTCTAATTTTTGTAGGGTTTTATCATAAATGCATGTTGGATTTTGTCAAATGCTTTTTCTGCATCTATGGAGATAATCATATGGGTTTTGTCCTTGGCTCTATTGATATAGTGTATTACATTGATTGATTTGTGTATGTTGTACCATCCCTGCATCCCTGGGATGGATCCCACTTGATCAGGGTGTATGATCTTCTTCATGATCTTCTTCTTTTTTTTTCCTTAAATTCTTTTATTGTTACATTTTAGGTATACAATATGTTCACATGTATCATTGGGTGTTTGTACTTGGACATGATGTATCTTGGTTCTTATTTTTTCCCCATTACCTGTGTGACCCTCACCCCTCCACCCTTCCCAATTTACATACTTCATTTCAATTTTTTTTTCTTTTCTCATAATTTTTCCTTTCCATTCTTTCCTTTCCCCATCTCCTCCCACCACCCTTACCCCTTTGGACATTTTCCTATTTCAAAGTATCAATTATTAGTT